CCAGTTTTAGCTTCGAAGCTGATCATAAAGGAGATTGTGTTCTCCTTTATCTTTGCCTACTGAAGCAAGCCAGAAAAGCTATACTTCGTTTCTAGCTATCTTGCTATCAGGGGACATCTGGCTCTCCTTTGGATGTGAATACTGCAAGTCTACATTTTCTACCTTCAGGATTTATGTGATAGAGTCCTGCATAACGGCTTCACCTTGCTTGAGTGATCATTAGTACCAATCCCAAATTATTGACTTGTTTACACATCTTTTTTAATTTTTAAAAGCACATTTACTTATTTTGTGTATATGGGGGTGGGTGCACATGCAATCTTGTATGTGGAGGTCAAAGGACAACTTAGAGGAGTTGGTTCTGTCCTTCCACCATGTGGGTCCCAGGGACTGAACTCAGGCTTGGTGGCAAGCATATTTACTTATTGAGCCACCTCTCTGGCCCCACACCATTCTTTTGTCTAGCCCTATCTTCCATATTCTAAATCAATTCATTTCAGAGCCATAGATAAAATATTCTATTTTACAAAGCCTTTCTTTGGCATTCAAATGAAGTTGAAAATAATCTATTGGGACCTCTTGCAGGCCTAAGAGTAAAGTGATTAGTGCACATCTCAGACCTCATCAGAAAAGTTTCTCTGTGTAGTGGATGGTGGTTAATGCAGAAACTCACAACAGGTAAAAGCGTAGAGAATAAGTGACTGTGAAGTGATTACCCACACATGGGATATCCATATTACCCCTCCCCCCCAAGGATCTGGGACCACTGAAGAAGAAGAGGCAGAAAGACTATAAGAGCCAGAGGCTGGGGACATGACAGGACCACTGTACTCATGACTCACGGCAGCTCTGGTTGCCTGCACAAGATCAAACCAGTCAACATTCCAGTATGGAGTGGGCAGGGGCTCATGAACCCAGACTTCTAATGAGTTTTGGACAGCTGGTGGCTTCTAGGGGATGGACAAGCAGATTTCTTTAAGGGTGTGGCTGACCACACTCCAGTGGATGGCCCCAACTTCAAATGTATATGGATAGCACAAATTGGAGTTGATGGGTTTACAAATAAAAATTTGTAAAAGTGGACAAGAAGTTAGGGGTGGATCTAGGGAGAATTAAAGGGGGGAATTGGGTGAATATGATCAAAATATATTGTATGAAATTCTCAAAGAATTAATAAAACATTTTTTAAAATAATCTATTGACCTCGATGATTAGCTTGCTTCTACTCTCAGGAATGTACCAAGGTAGCTGTGGACAGGTAAGCTTCTAGATCAATCTCATGATGCACCACTTCCTTTACTGTCAAAGTGTAAAGTCAAGCGAGACCTATGAAAAGTGTGTTCCATGAAGGAACAAGGTATAATTTTTGGTAAAACACAAATGTCACTTAATCAACAGTTACAACCAACTATACCATACTAGATCCTGGGGATACAGCAATAAATGAGATACACAACAGACACTGTTGAAGCCACAGGTTTGCACAATCAGGCCTGAGAGAGGTTTTAGATACAAATCCTAATGGGGTACTCACTGTCCCTCAGGCATTTACTATACATGTTGGCTCAGTAGTTCCTGGATTTTTCCAGAAAATTTGCCAATGGCACTGAAGAATAACCCACAGATGACCTTGTTCTCCAGCTTCTTCCTCACCTTCCAGGCCATGGAGAGGCCAAGCCTCAGCTCTGTGAAGAGGAGCATCCAGGCTCTCCTGCCAGGCTCTCCAATAAAGTTGCTGTGCAGTAGCGCACCAATGGGCCCTGTGCCTGAGCCCGTGTCACAGTTTTCCATGTGGGCTTGAAGCAGCACTGGAAGGTCTTTCTGTACTTCTACCATCTAGGATCTGGCCGAGAAAAGGGCGTCCAACACTGCTAAGTGCTTACATTTGCTGGGCATCGTGGTAAGTCCGGTACAGGTATTCACTTATTTAGCCCTCAAAATAACGTTATAGAGTAGAGGGAAAGTATGTCTTTCTTGTCTAGATGAAAAAATGTATGGTGTGGGGTATTATCTACTGCTAAATGAAATTAATGGTTTAAAACTACAAACATTATGTAACATATGCTCTGAACCAGGGCACGGCTTAGTGGCGGGATCTGCTCTAAGGTGTCTTTGTGAGGCTGCACTTCAAGGTGTTGGCCAGGGTTATGGGGTCTCATCTGAAGCTCAAGTGGGAAAGGACTGGCTTCTGCATTCACATAGGTGGCCACTGGCAGCTTTCAGTTCCTTTGGGGCATTGCACTGAGGGTCAATTCCTACCTCAATTGTCTAGGAGATGCTCTCAGTTCCCTACTGTGTGGGCCTCCCAGCACACCTTGCTTCAGAAAAGTCAAAAGAGGAAGAGGCAATCATAGTCTTTTGAATCATGGGGTATTGACATATCCAACTGATTGGAAACAAGTTATAGTTTCTATCAATTTCAAGGAGAGAAAGTTACAGGAATACAGGGCTCCTGGGAAGCATGGATGGAGGAGGAGATCATCTTGGAGTCTGTCACCCAAGGGGAGGAATTTCCCCAGGGAATGAGAGCTAATTAACATTAACTCAGCACAGAAAATCCATGTTAGAGCTAAGTGATACTCAAATTGTTTAAGAACCAGGCTATTCCTAGAAATAAGTGCAAACTTCTATTTTCTTTTGGATGTGTCACTAAAAAGATGTTGCTTTTTTATGGAGACTGATCTCCACTCCCCCACACATGGAGTTTTTAAAATTCAAAAACATCATATGGCCTTCATGTAATTATCTGGGTTTTCAGGAACTTTAAGGAAAAAAAAAAAAACAACAAAAAACCCCAAGCCAATCAGAAGATACGGTGCTATTATTTCTTGTACTGTAGTAACAGCTGTTGACCAGAACAATTTAGTAACTGCGCTTGTCTGTTGCCAACAGCTCCTTTAGAATTCAGTGGCTCCTAGTGAGGCATTAGCTGTCTTTGCTATCACTCCAGCAGAGTACAGGAGAACTGAATTGAGCTCATCTATGGGTTGCTAAAACTGGTTTCTCCTAGGTATTTAATGTATATCTCATTTTTCTGAATGAAAAGTTTATACTCAGAAATTTAACATCACCCCCACCCCAATGCCGCTAGCTTAAAGTTACACAGGTAGCTTAGACGGATGATAAAGATGGCTTTATCATTTCCACCCAAGTCTATCTAGCTCCTCACCTCCAAACCAGTACCACCAAATACTGGCTGCTTGAAATACAAATGTAGTACTTTGCAGGCTCAGCTTTGGGGGGAGAATTATTCATTTATTGAATGAATATATATATTCTGTATGCTGGGCACACATTGCAATGATTGTAATCTTAGTAACTTAAAATGTGAAGCACTGAGATGCACATAATTTTAATAATATGCCTTATGTATATGAACAAAACCTGGGTCTTTTATTTTTTCCAATATTCCAGGGTGCCTTAAGATTCCTTTATAATTCCTTTAAAACTACAGGGTTGACTTGGGGTTATAAAATCTGCCCTTGAGCAGCTGCTTCTGAAAGACCATTTTCTGTTGTCATATTCATCATCTGTCAAATGAATTTGTATTGAAAATATGATAGCTGTTAGATTTTAGACTCTGGTGATCTGAACTGGCTCTTCCTCTCCTGAAAGTCCCTAGGAGCACAACATGAACAGGGAATGGCAGTTCTTACCACAGACCAGCTGGCAATTCTGATTGTCTTGTGATTCGCAGATGCACATCAGCCCCCACTCACACTTGTCTCTGACCAATGATGCTTTCTTTAATTAGCACACGACTCAAACTTTAGTCCACTTTTCCATGGCTTTGGTCCTAGGCTAGGCAAATACAGGCCAATCTAACTCGGCAAGAAAAAGTACTTGAAGTAAGATGCTATTAAGCTTGACACTGAGCACAGAGACAACCACCTTGTCTGGATTTGCTCGACCAACTTGCCCCTTACAATCTAGTCTTGTGCCCAGGCTTTTATGACTTGTGGTGGTTAGTTTTTGGTATGTATGGGTCTACCTGTGCATGGAGGCCAAACCCTGGCGGCCAGTCCTCAGGAACCATTTATCTTGTTTTTTGAGACGGGGACCCTCACTGGGACTAGGTGGGCTGCCTCCCCAGCACTGGGATTAGATACCCATGCAGCCTACACCTGTCTTTTTACATAGGCGCTGCACTTGACCTACTCTGAAAGCACTTGACCTACTGAGCTAGCTTCCCAGCCCTCTAGTTTTTTATATCATTCCCACCACGTGAATGGCCTCTAGAAGGGCCAGTATATACTTTGCTTAAGCTGGTGTGAGACCATTTGCAGGGGGTGATTGAAGAAGTGCTGAAGAAGGCTCTTCTCTTCAGGTCAAACCTGGTACTGCCTCATTTCCTTCCTTCCTTCCTTCCTTCCTTCCTTCCTTCCTTCCTTCCTTCCTTCCTTCCTCCCTTCCTCCATTCCTCCCTCCCTCCCTCCCTCCCTTCCACTTCCAAACCACCTGCTACTTTCCGGAATGCCTACGCCACACAGCGGATAGCTTTGCTCTACACATCTAGGCCAAATTCCATGTAGACCAGCAAGGAGGGGATATTTGAAGAAACTTGATTCCTTGCCTTCTCTGGTTACCACTTATGGAAGGGCAGAGAAGACTGTGAGATTTCTGGCTTGCAAGACTCAGCTTGAGGTGGGAGAAGGTGATCATGTCAGCTAGGTGATTTAGGAAAGCAGACAGCCCCAATTCCAAAGAACACAACCATGAAAAATGTAATTTTCTTCATTTAAAAACCAGACCTTGACAAGTGTGATAAGTAGGGATTTGTTGTAGTCTTGAATGTCTTGGTCCTTAAGGATGGCGACTCCTGTGAGTCTACTGTCAGCGGAACGACAGACAGACAGCTCGGGGTAGGAAGTTGGTGGCAGCAAGAACCAGACGCTGCGTTCCCACCGGGCCAGCCCCCGTGGTCCCCTATAGGCCGGTTGCCCCGCCCACCACCAGCACTCGCCAGGCGTGCCCCGCCGCGCACGGAAGTAGTGGGGGGGGGTTGCCCACCTACGTGCGCCCGCCGCGTCACCCCCACCGCCCGCGCTCCCCGCAGCGCCCCCTGGAGGCTCCAGCTTGTCACAGCGGCAGGTCCCGCGGACTGAAGGGCAGCCGAGCCCACAAGGAGAACCGGGTCACAGGCCGTGCTGTCCCCTGTGAACCAACGCGCGGCGGGGAGAGCGCGGACCCCGGCCCACCCCGCCCCGCAATTCCTGCGAGAAAGCAAGGTTCGAATGCCGAACCGGGCGAACGCCTCACGGGACGCGCCTCTCAGGACACGCCTAGCGGCTTCGGGGCCGAGCCACGTTGTATCGCGCGGGTGTGAGGTGGAGGGTGGCAGAGGGCGGCGTGCGCGCCCCCGCACGGACTGTACGTGCGCGCCCCTGTGGCAGGGCCGGGCCCAGGGGCGGGGCGCAGCGGGGCGGGCCGCGCCGGGAGGGCGGTGGCGTCCGGAGGCCAAGGAGGAGAGAAAAGGAGGCGACCCGGCCGTGGCTCAGGTGCTCCGGAGGCGGACAGACCGGGCTTGGGGCGCGGAGCGGCGCGGGGACAGTGCAGAGCGGCC